TTTTTTTGTTTTTGTTTTTTTTTTGTTTTTGTTTTTGGTTTGGCTCCTTGTTAGTGGACTGTGGTGTCTTCCTTTTGTGTTTGCACCTTCGTCTCTTCCTAAGATGCAGTGGCTTAAAACAACCTGCTTTGCTTTCTTTTAAATCGAAATTATTGTCCAAAATTCACATTTCACAAGATGCTCTTAGCTTCTCTTTAGTCAGGGAGAGTATTCAGTTAGTAACTAGAAACAGGAAGTATAATGATTTTTTTTCCCCCAAGGCTCTGTTGACCTAAGTACTTGACTCCACTGGAATATGCTGAGGCATACTGTCAGATGGAGTGTAGGCTGTTGGACTGAAGCGTACTGATTTTCTTTAGTGAGTCTTTTGGTTTCATCGTTGCGATACTAAGATGGTTGGGCTGCCGAAGCCAAACTGACAAGACAATATCAGTGTAGGTGCTAGGACACTTGTTTACTTTCCTTCTAGCTAGGGATTTCTGGGCCTGTACTGAAAACCCCAAATGCTGTTGTCTTTCTGATAATACTGATATTTTTCAGGATTGATAAGGTATCTCACTTTTGGACATGTCCCAGTAAAATCGTCAGTAGTACACTTGGGCTTGATTTTTCCTTGCCGTTATTTCAGATATTTCGTGCCCTTGCTTCTTTACTGCATAGTATTTTTTAAAAGATAAAATTGGGGGAGCTTTTTGGCATAGTGTGGGAAAGGCAGAGTCCGTTTCATTTCAACTCCAAACATTTTATCTAGTGACTCTGTGCGTCACCATTTGAATTTTCATGGACAGTTTAGTAGACTGTTAACTTTTGAAGAATTCCCCTGTAAGTTTAGCTGGCCCTGCCAGTAAACCTTGTTTCTTACCTTAGGAACTGACATGTCTTATGGCTCAGTCCAAACAGACTTTCTTGTTGAATGCTTTTGATCGTCACACAAGCCTCAGAGATTTTACTGTACTTGGTGAGCACTTGTCCATTACATCGACTGGTGTTTCTAAGCCTGCCCCGCGTTAATGTAGTGGTATACATCTGGGCCCAACGACTTAAAGCCGCATCAGAAAGAGCTTAAAAGAGGAAGCTCATAGCAGGGGAAAATGATACATACATGTATATACATGTATATTCATGTATATGTGTGTGTGTGTTTGCATATACACATACATCCCTCTCCCCAAAGGTTTAGAACTGCCTCAGAATATTTGGAGCCTGTAAGAAGCAGCATGGAATCGGGGAGCCAGCCAGATTCAGTGTTGACCCACCCCACTGAATAGCTAGCTGCACAATGGCCTTGGGCAAGTTGTTTAACTTCTCTGGGCCTCATTTTCTTCATCTGTTAAAAAAAAAAAAAAAAACAGGCAATAATAGTATTACCTAGTTTATAATAGTATTACCTATAATCTAGTTTTCTAGATTCCCACCACCATCTTTATTTAAGATCTAGGTAATAATGGCCTCAAATTCTTTATTTAGGAGCGTGGTAAGTCCTTCAAAAGGCATTGAATATAAAGTACCTGGCATTTAAGAACTGATATTCCCAAAGGCCTCTTTTCTCCTCCCTCCTTAAAGTAGATTTCTTCTTCACCAGGTGTCGTCTTTCACTTTTTAATTACAGTAGGTCCTTAGAAGAGACCAGATTATTAGGTCGAATTATATCATATCAAATGCTATTAACAGTGAAAATAGCTGAGTGAGGAAGATATTTATAAATTCTATATAGATTAAATAATTGTGACTTCACAAAGCAGTCCTTGCCCATTAATGGAAAAGAATTTTGCCTCAACTTCAAAAATAGAAAATCAGAAATCTTACTAATGTAGAATTTACTTTGTATTCTTTTATTACAAAAAACTGTATTGAGCCCTAAGTGAAGTTTTTAGTTATTAATTTTTTAATTATCATAAATTGATAGCTTTAAAATCCATTTTTTTCTGGAAAGGAATTATCTTACTTAAATGAGATTTTAAAAATTCATAAAGTAATTGTATTAATAATTTTTTGCTCCTGGATACATACCATTAGTTATGTTACCTTGGAGCCTGGAGGGTTAGATTCTTATTAGTCTTATTGGATGCTTCCATTATTCAAAGGGTTTTTTTTCCTTGCCTTTTTTTTTAAATTACATTTCAATCTCTTATGATCTAAATGTTGAACAAGATTTAATCAGAATTGTAAGTACCAAATCATTTTTTATTTCTACAAGAGAACTGTCTGGCATGACTTTGCAGATACAAGAAGTAGGAATGTGAAATTTGGATAATGTTCTACCTGCATGATTATTACAGTAATACTGCTTATAAAGTTTTAAGTGCTTTTATGTTCCTTGCTGTGTACATCATTTTTTCCTTTCTATTTTATTACGCTTTGGTGGTTATGCTCATGTAATGTCCTATCTTTGGTCTTATGCCTTTACCTTAGGTACAGTTACATTAAGCTAGAACTAATCAGCAGAAAGAAAGAAAAAAAGGAACTTACTGTCTGCCTTATTATCATTAAAAAATGCAGATTCACAGTTACTTCATGGAAGAACAATTTTCAGTTTACACTTTAAGGAACACTGTGGGAAAGTTTATGTACTATATTTTTGTTTTCTCATCTGATGAGAAATTACTTGATTTAAAACCAAGCTCAACATGAAGACAAAATCAAATCCTTGATACACGTGGGTCAGTGCTGTGCATTTGGAAAATTGAGGAATCAGAAATGTACCCAAACACCTCAGATAGGTGTGTTCTTTGAATTTAAAATGTTGCTGTGATTTAGTCCTTGGCTGGTCAGGAAACACTTGTGTCTCCTGACATCTGCCAGAACTCCGTGTTTCATTCTCCAACGCAAAATATTCACATTTAAAAAAAGAAACTTAATTCCCATGTTAAGAACATTATTTAAATATCAACAGATTAGTCATGCTTAGCATGCTTAAGTTTTATTTTTAGAAGGGGCTTGATTTTTTTTATATAGTTTTTCGTGAGCAGATTATATTGGCTTTGAGTGAATAGAATATGAAACCATCGTGTTTTAATTTGTATTTGTATTTTTGCAAGTATGCATATAAATATGTTACTGTTTATTTACTGTAGCGGTTTCCTTTTTTATTTTTTTACTAAAGAAACATATTTTATTAAGTCAGACCATTTATTTACTCAAAAATGTCAATATACAAGTTAATGCTAGAACTTGGAGAGCCGTGGCTCTCCTTCCCTTTTGCCTCTTTAGTTACAAAATTATTATTGTTGAACATATTACCGGACTTAGAAAAGATTTCTTTTAATGTACTAAATCATACTTAAGGTAGAAACTGGTACTTGAATGAAGTTTCTAACTTTGCCAAATACCTGTCTAATTTACTTTTATATTATATGTGTCAATTGCCAGTGTGAGAAGACAAAATGAAATACGTTGTGAAAGGTAACTGTACTATTTTCTGGCTCTGCATTATAGGAGGGAAATCTCTGTGGTGGCATATGTTGACTATGGCAGATCCATATCGAACATATTAGCGTGAATTCTTTAATAAAAGCTTTAAGTAGCACCCAGCAGCGGCTTCATTTACTTAAGCATTCTCAGACGAGCGTGCTATAAGATTGCAGTGAAGCAAGTTTTCCTAATGCCACAGAGTAATTAATTATAGGAGCAGAACGGGATGATTTAAAACCTGTTTCAGGCTTATGTGCTTTCTCACTGTTCTTTAGCCAGCACAATAGAAGTCTAACGTCTCCCCCACAGCCTCAGAATTCCTTATCCTGTAGGCTCCCGAAATTTCTTTAAGCACCAGTTGTGCCTCCAGGAAACGTACAAGCTAAACATGAAAATTGTCTTATATAAATTAACTTGGGAGGAAATAGTGATTCGTATTGTAGCCAAAGTTTTACAGCTGTACCAACTTAACGGAAAAAAACTAGTTCATTTGATATTAAACGTTGACTATAATTAAGCATTGCCTTGATACTTCAATGCAGGCAACACCCGACCAGTACTGAGAAAATGAGACACTTGAAATACAATGTAATAATTCTTAAAATCCTTCTATGGCCCCTGTAGCTCAGCCTCCTTTCTCTGGTCGCCAATTACTGCTGATTGCTTTTTGGGCAATTGACCAGAAACCACGGGGAGTTTTTGTCTTCCGATTTTTAAAAGTGAAAGGTATTGCAAGGGTTACTGCTCACCTGGGTGGAGCACTCACTGCCCTCTAGAACCAGCGTATGTCCTGAGGCTGGTGACCGTCCCCACAAAGTGTTCCAGTTTAGCGCAGTCTTTTATTCCCAGCTGCCCAGTGTGCCGCTGCTGGGGGGGGGTCTCTCCGGAAGAGACGCGTAGTTTGGCTGTGCTTCTGTGCCGCACCCTAGACGTCCTCTGACGGCCTCAGCTCCAGAACCCAGGCTTGCAGGTTTGCTTCTGGGAGCCAAGGTTTGAATGAGATGCAGCTACAGTAGGATACGAGGCGTGATTCCAACGAGTGAGGCGGGAGGGAAGGAGCCGTGGGAAATGGGACTTAACCTGGGCCGCTGACACCAGACGGGCAGCCGCGATCGTGCAGGTGCTACCCAGCAGTTCCTGACACGCTTCCAGGGTTGCGGGTGATCTTTTCTTTCTGACGAGAAAAGGGAAATTACACTTTTTAGACAGAGTTGTCCTCTCTCTTGAATTTCATAAATTAAAATATAAGCACCAAAGGGAAAAAAAAGTTTTACGCGGGTGCTGTCTTGTCACACGAGTTTCCTCTGGGTTCTTGGCCTGTGGTAAAACCTTAAATTTATGAAAATCAAAAGGGAGGGCCTGTCCTGCAACCATCTTTAAAGTATTTGACAGATATTATATTGTATCACAACATACAATATAATCCTATTTGACATGTTTTTGTCTTGTTTTTGCTTTTATTTTATCACTTCTCTGTTTCCTGATTCTGTCTTGTGCCTTCTCCCGCAAAAACCTGCCTTAGACCCGTGTTGCGGGGTGGGTCTGCTGCCGCCACTTCTAATCCTCATCATGACAACGTCAGGTAAATTTTGAGACTTTGTACTTATCAGGCTAAACAGTTGACTGCCTTTGTATTTTGCATGTAGTAGCCTTGCCTTTGTGTTCTAGCTTGAACTGCTCACAGTTTTCCTCTCTGAGTACATCCTGGCTTTTCTCTGAGAACCCTGAGTCTAATCGTTCAGGACGTTTGCCAACCAGAGTATGAAGAAAAATGCTTGGTGGTGAAGGTACCATGTGCACATCTGAGATATTTCATGTAAATACCGTTTTGGTAGCTTATCGAGGATCACGCTGAAACACAGAAAAGGCCGTCTTAAATCTTGTTTTATGTGCATCATTTTAATTGTTGGCTGAGGTTCTGTCTACCATTTCCTTTCTTGTTAGTTGCCTGGGGTGGCATTCGCCACGTGTAGATAAACGTGTGTATAAGGCATCGTCTTAAATTGGGGGAAATCAGCATCGACAGTCTAGACAGTTAAACGTTTAGAAAAGGAATTTAGTTCAAAGAGTTTTCATCATCTGTTGATTTAAGCTTTTCCCTCTTGTTTTCATTCCTTCAGACATGCTTAGCCTCAGTAATTATACCTTCCTGGCATGCACAAGGACAGATAGACTGGCACATACGAATGCTTAAGGTTCTGAGGTGCCAAAATTCCCATTTCCCGTCTTCTGGGGAAAAGAAAATTGCTTGGTATTCGCAGATACCATTAACTGTAACTTTTTCAGAGCTAATTTTGTTCATTTTAAGCAGAAATGTATTACCCACGGCAGTAGACTTAAAACTGTCAGCATTATTTCTATGATGAGAGGAATCTGACACGTTGATTTTTAGGCAGGAGAAGAGGGAAACATCAGTTTCTTAGTAATACTGCATTCAGGTTAGAGGAATTGAAGAGTGTGTCCTTAGTGGTGCCTTACCCTCTCCTCTGCTCACCGGTTTCTTTCACGGTGTCAGTTCAGGCCATTGTAAGTTTACTACCTTTGTATATTTCCCAGAAGTTGGAACTGGAAGTTCGTGATCCTTTTCTCTTTCCCTGAAAGAACTTTCAGGCAGTGAGCTGACTTAACATTTCTTACAGAGATTTTAGTTCTGACAAATACAGCTTTTTATATCTGATATATATAGCTCTTTTAATGTTTTCTTTTCTATTGTAAGTTGAATTATATATGTACGGCCTTTTGCCATATCCTTAGATTTCTTTGCAAATGAAGATTTCCTTCACAGTTGTTTAACACCTTATTTAATTTAGGATTTAAAGTGAGTAATTCCCATCACTTATATTTCATTCTGTGTTCAGTCTGGGGTTCCTTTACCTTTGAAGCCATTGCTTCTTTCCCCCCCCCCCCAGTTTAAATTTTTTTTTAATGTTTATGTATTTTTGAGAGAGAGAGAGAGAGGGCGCGTGAGCGCAGGGGAAGGGCAGAGAGAGGGAGACACAGAATCCAAAGCAGTCTGCAGGCTCTCAGCTGTCAGCACGGAGCCCAACATGGGACTCGAACTTGTGAACCGTGAGATCATGACCTGAGCCAAGGTCGGACGCCTAACCAATTGAGCCACGCAGGCGCCCCTCTTGTCCCCCCAGTTTATATCTCATAGGCAATCTCAGGGAAATAGAAGTTTTATTTTCTTTAATGTTTATTTTTATTTTAGAGAGAGAGAGAGAGAGAGACAAGAGTACAAGCAGGGGAGGAGCAGAGAGAGGGAGACACAGACTCTGAAGAAGGCTCCAGGCTGTGAGCTGTTAGCACAGAGCCCGACACGAGGCTCAAACCCACCAGCTGTGAGATTATGACCTGAGCTGAAGTCAAGATACTTAACCGAGCCACCCAGGTGCCCCGAAAAGTTTTATTTTGAGATAAAGTGTAGAGAAAAGGAATCTTCAACCCATGTTTTTTCCTCAGATATTTATAAACTCATAGTTCTACTCACATAGAAGCTTACTTCTCAGACGCAGTTAGTCTCAGTATTCGAGGATATTTCCTCTTGCGATGAAGAAAGGAGTGGTGAAATGCGAAAACCAGTTCATTTAGTGATAAAGGGAACACGTAGACATTGTTCTAGAGTTGGGACGCACCGTCAGCCATTGAAACTGCAACACGTACGGTTATCATCTGTTCAGAATGACGACCCTGGCTGGGAACACAGTGAATGATTATAAAATAAATCCTGTTCCACATACTTTATTAAATTATTTTTGGATTATTTTCAACAGCATATGAAACAGGATTTTCTGAGTAGACTTGTCTTGAATGTGCCTGGATGAAAACTATAATTTTCTTCATACCCCTTCGTGTGGTTATGTGCTTTTTGTAACGGGGATTTGCTTGAAAGATTAGAATAATCTAATCCATGTGCCAACTCTCTCTGGATGACAAAGGAGTGACTTTTTAATTCAGTTGATTTAGATTCTGCTCATTTGGGAAAGTTACTATGCCATTTTAGGGAAATAACCATACAGGATTAAAATAGCGAGGATATAAACATGTGAGGTGAACTGTATGGTATGTAAATTATATCTCAATTAAGCTGTTAATTAAAATAAGCTTAAGAAGTGGAAATCCAGGCAAAGGGGAAGCATAGCATTTGTGTGTATTTGTTTCTCAGAGGTTTATTGCCAGGCATTTAAAAGTCAGTGCTCGTTTAGAAGTAACTGTATTTGAAAAAGAAGTATTTTTTAATGTGCTTTCCCTGGGGTGGTTCTTTGTGGCTTTCCAGTATTATTTTATACACAGCCCCTTAATGATTAATCTTTGAGCCAATTCCGGATCTGAATGCAGTGACAAGATGTCCTCAGGTGATTTTATCGTTGTTTCTGTGGGAGACACAGTAGAGAACAGGTAATTAGAAATAAGTAGAGAGTAGAAATGGTAAGAGGCAATGAGAAGAGGAGGAGAAATTAAAAAAAAAAAAATCTATGTTATTTTTTTAGCTAAAGTTAGTGTTCCCGGCCAGTGAGTCTCGACAGGGACTCCTGTGGAGCTACATACGGACAGAAGCTTGTGGAAGAATTATGTGTTGTTCTGTTTCAGAGTGGCAGCTCTTAAATCATTGCTCAAAATACTTTTTGCTTCTTCCTCTGCTTTCCTTTGTTAGTACCAATTCAGATGGTAAAATATTTTAGTAATTCCTGTTGTTAAATATCAGTCTTCTGAACGGTTCTTTGAGCATTGCCCAGCACATGATGTGACTTACCCGGGTACTCTTAGTTCTGTTGTAATATTAAATTGCATTTTTATGTCTCATCTGCTAGGCATGGCATGTCACATATAGATGCAACAATTGAAGGAACTTCGGACGACATGACTGTTGTAGATGCGGCTTCATTAAGACGGCAGGTATTTAATGTACTAGACAAGAGAGAATCCTAAATTATATTCATATAGTATGTTACTGATAATTTTTAACATGTTATCATTTTCTCTCCTGTGGAACCCATGAATTATTTTATTTCTCAAGCTGTTTTTATTTATTTATTTTTTTAATTTTTTTTTTTCAATGTTTATTTATTTTTGGGACAGAGAGAGACAGAGCATGAACGGGGGAGGGGCAGAGAGAGAGGGAGACACAGAATAGGAAACAGGCTCCAGGCTCTGAGCCATCAGCCCAGAGCCCGACGCGGGGCTCGAACTCACGGACCGCGAGATCGTGACCTGGCTGAAGTCGGACGCTTAACCGACTGCGCCACCCAAGCGCCCCTCAAGCTGTTTTTAATAAGCCATAATTGACTTTTCCATTTTGATTAAAGGTATGTTAAGCCACCACTTACACATTTTAATCAGCGTAAAACAGTACTACCAAAATGGATTGGTACAATTCTGGCCACTAACAAAGACTCTCGGCATTTTAGCCAACCAGCATAGCCACTAGACTGCTTGTTTGACTTCTTGAAATGTGGAAGTCACCTTGGGGACCTGTGGTACGATGTTGGAGAGTTCCGCTTTGGAAGTCACTGCTTCCAGTTTGCACAGCGCCTCTAAGAACATATTTCTTGTGTTCTGTAATAAGTCCTGCCTTGGAAGTGCAGTTGCATATGCACATTTGTAATATGCGGTCCCACGGCCTCTAGAATCACACACACACACGTGGAGAAGGCGCAGCCAGTGTTGTAATTGTGTCTGTGCCGAATAGGCGTAGAGGAGACGTGAATGAAAGAAAGTATTTCTAAGATCAAGAAACTAAATATCTTAGCATTAGAATCAGTCAGTATCGTTTTAAAGATTCAACATAACGATAATATGAAACAAATACTGCTTTCTTTACCGTGAGTCTCGTTTATTTACTAAATGGATGCTGTGTCAGAAGGTCTCACGCATATTTATTTATACCTCGCCTGCTGAAGAAAGGGAGTTTCTCTGGCATTTGTCGTAGAATTCACAGTCAGACCAACAACCTTGCTTTCTGAGAGTACAGCAGGAGCTTCGGGGTTGTAACAACATCCATTCGATCCTTAGCTTAGAGGCTGAACTAGTAGACAAAGATCGAGTCATTGTAAACAGGTCACACACGTCCTGTGACAAGTAGAAAGCCAGGTGGGAAACCGAGCTTCTGAGACCAGGCGCAAGCACCGCATCGCGAGAAGGTTCTACAGAGTTCACATCTGTGACCCCGGTGGCAGGGGAAGCTCCCTTGGTCCGTTGCCAATTTGGAAACCCACCAGCCTGTACTCCATTCATCCAGGGATGGGGAACCCGTGGGCCGCCTGGCTTCAAGAGAGAAAATGTAATCCACTCTCCATATTAAAAAGCGGCCTTGGTGTTGTTGCTGCCCAGATAAAAATATCGTAACGACTCACGATCAATGCCTGTTTTTTTCACTGACGATAAGATGGATCATTTAGTGTAAGAACATAGCATCCCGTGGCACCAAATAAGCCCCTCTCGTTGCGAGTGGTTGGGAAAAGGTGATTAACTCTAAGCACTTTATTTATTTATCTTTTTTTTTACTGGCCCTAAGAGAAAAATGGCTCCTCAGCACTGATTAAAAAGTGACGTACCTTTCCGGGTTGTGAAAATGGTTATCTCTGCATCACTGTCCGTAGACTCCCATTCCCACCGCCCCCCTCCCACCCCTCCAGGTTGGAGTTCTCGGTCCTCAAAATGCTAAGGATTCCACATTCTGTGAAAATCTCTTCCTTCACCTTCTCTAACATAATGATAGTAATCCCATAGAGCATTCATAGTGCTCTACAGAGCTCATTGTGTTTTTACACGGAAAGCAGATTGTGGGTTGCAGGTTGGCACAAAAGCCTGCCCCGGGAGTGCTCCTGCAGTTACCACCTGCAGGGGAAGGAGAGGAAGCAGGATGGGGCACGAGGGGAGTGTTGGGCTGCGGTGTCTGCACGTGGCCAGCCTCACGAGGGGCCTGAGGCCGGGTGGAGCGGGGGGCCTGGGCCTTGAACCCCATTGTGAACCAGTTACTGGATGCACGCAGCTGCCCCAGGAAGGGAGCATATGCTTGGGCAGGGCAGTAGTTCAGCCCAGGGCTGTCCGTGGTAGGGATCAGCAGCCGAGGGCAGTGCTGTCAACGAGAGAATTCCTAGCCTTTCAGCCCTTGAAGGGTCCGGGTGACAGAGCACAGGGCCCGCCACAATAGGCTGTTAGGAGATCCCATCAGGAGCTCAGCGGACAGGGAAGGCAGTTAACGCAGGTTAAAGATGAGCAACTGAGGCCGAGGGACAGAAGCTTGTAGAAGGAGCAGAGACAGGAGCTCATCCTGCTGTGCTGCACCTGCCTCGGTGTGTGCTTGGTCCCCCCTGTCGGAATTAGCTGTCAGCGTGCAACGGTTTCCTCACCTCACACTTAATCGAGGAAGGATGGAAAATATACTCTTTTCTGACTCAGAAATTTGGAGAAGGGAAAGGGAGATTATCTCGGAATTGAAGCTGTCTCGGGTGACATTTTTTCTATATAGGGTTCATTTTGCTCCAAGTGTTTATCAGAATTCTTTTGACAAGTCCTGCTACTTCCTGAGACTCTAATTCCTCCTTGCACTAAAGCTTCTATTTGGTTTGTTGTCGTTGTTTGTTTTTCACTTAGATAATCAAACTAAATAGACGTCTACAACTTCTAGAAGAGGAGAACAAAGAGCGCGCGAAGAGAGAAATGGTCATGTATTCGATTACTGTAGCGTTCTGGCTGCTTAACAGCTGGCTCTGGTTTCGCCGCTAGAGGTAACCTCGGCTCTGGAAAATTCTGTCTCAACAGCTGGAAACATAAAGAACTTGCAAACTTCTCTGTTTCTGTGTTTGCATTGTATGCCGTTTTATAGTCCGTGCCCTGCCCGTGTATTTCTTCCAGAAAGGAGGGGGGAAGGGCTGATAACTTGGGGAAGTAAAGGCCCATTCTCTCCCTCCGCTGTGGTCACTGTCAAGCAGTTCTGCAGTAACACGCGCACACTTCACATTCTCCCTTTGCATGTTTTGTAAATAGGCTCTAGTTTGTTTTTCTTTAAGGGAAATGATTTTTGCCTCATCAGTCCGCACAATTAATTCTCTGAATGGGAAAGAGAGTGCATAGTGAGTGGATTTAGAAAAGTATCTGTAAAAGAAGACTAGTCCTTTATTTTGTCCTGTTTCTCAAACGCGATTAAGTGAAACAGTTCCGTCAATAGACATTTTTGCATCCACACTTCAGCGTTCGCGCTTCCATAGTCATGGTCTGGTATCAGGTTTAATGAAGCCAAGGCGCCTCATGTTTTACAGTCACCTTCGTTAAAATAATTCCTGACATTTCCAGCAGTTTATCTAATACATGTGTAAAATGTGCATTCTTATTTTTATTTTAATTTTGCAGATGGTTTTCTATAAAGTATGTTTTTACTAAGCCCCGTGTGAATGATTTAAAAAAACCACAGAATAAGGTACAAATGTAGTGTATTTAATAAACTGTCAACAAAAGCAATGGTTGTCTGTCAAAAAGTTTTATTTCACCTTGCTGTGCCGTGAGCGATGTCTTCTATCATATTACCGTTAATGAACGTTAAGTCTTCCCGCCTCAGGAGCAGGAAATGCAAGTAATGACTTTGCAGGTAGCAAGGACCTCCCGTGCTTCCTTTCGGGTCTCCGTCCCAGCAGCGGGAGGCGCTGGTCGCATTACAGGTGGTTATGTAAGTCGCAGGATCTGTAAAGTGGTTCAGATGAAAACAACTTGAGTTGTGTCTGCTTTTTCTGTTGTAGTTTTTAGCCAAGATGCACGATCTCAGGGGATTTAAATGCACCAGTGAAACTAAGTCCTGGGACCCTTTAGCTCTCCCGGTTTTTCATCCCTGTTTTGCATTCAGAAACAGATAGGCTTTTAATTAGACATGGGGCTCTCCACATGTCTTCAATATCTTTCTACCCAGGCCATCAATTTCAGGAAAGGCAGTTGAAGGAAATTCCTTAGATAGATGTATTTAATGTTTGTGTTCTTGTTTCTCCCCCGTCCTTCCAAAATAAAATACCTGGGGGGGGGGGGGGGGAGGGGCACCTGACTTGGGAGGGCGCCTGGATGGCTCAGTCATCTAAGTATCCAACTCTTGATTTCGGCTCTGGTCATCATCTTGCAGTTCGTGAGTTTGAGCTCCACATCGGGCTCTACGCTGACAGTGTGGAGCCTGCTTGGGATTCTCTGTCTGTCTCTGTCTGTCTGTCTGCCTCTCTCTCTGTCTCACTTTCAAAAAACAAATAAACATTTATTTATTTTTTTTTTTTTTAATTTTTTTCAACGTTGCGTTAATTATTTTGGGACTTTGAGAGAGACAGAGCATGAACAGGGAGGGCAGAGAGAAGAGGGAGACACAGAATCGAACAGGCTCCAGGCAGGCTCCTGAGCCATCAGCCCAGAGCCAACATGACGCGGGGCTCAAACCTCCACGGACAAGGGTGAGATTGTGAGCCAGCTGAAGTCGGACGTTAACAGCTGACTGTCGGACAGCTCATGCCCCAACCATAAACTAAACATTTATTTAAAAAAAAATTTTTTTTAACGTTTTTTATTTATTTTTGGGACAGAGAGAGCGAAACATAATTCAGGGGAGGGCAGAGAAGAGGGGAGACACAGAATGGAAGCAGGCTCAGGCTCTGAGCCGCGTCAGCCAGAGCCCGGCCTGGCGAGAGGCTCGAACTCACTGCGGACACATGAGATGGTGACCCCCCTGAAGTGAAGTCGGACGCTTAACCGACTGAGCCACCCAGGCGCCCCAACAAATAAACATTTAAAACAAAAAGATACTTGGAGGAAACATTCTTCTCTTCCTAGAATTTATCATGAGTTTGATGACAAATTTTTTTTTAACCTATGAAAATCTTCTGACTTTTATAATAGCCTAATGATGTGATTATATTAATTCTAGCTCTGTGTGTGTGTGTATGTGTATGTGTGTCACAGGTAATTTCTGAGTGATCCAGTTGAAACCACAAAAATGATAAAAACGATGGATAAAATTAGTACTTCTTTTGCTGGACAGGCATGAAAAGGATTCTGCTTGGGCCAAAAATGAAATACAAGGAGGCATTCCAGGAGATCAACACAAAAGCTGGGTTTTTTTCCCCTGTTGATTTTTACCAAATCCTGGAGACCTAGAACTTTCTCCTTTAGTGGCTGTGCAGGGGGCAGGAGATAACAGTTCCATGTCTTGGGCACAGGATTCCTGCATGAAGCTGGGACCTCAAAAGACAACCCCCCCCCACCCCCCAGGGAAAGGGAAGATGGGAAATCAACTTACCATCCAGCTTTCGCCTTGTCACAGATCTAAAAACTATAGAAGCACTTGAATCACTCCAAAGCCAAGCTCCATTATGCCAGCCTCCCTCACCTGGAGGTCGCTCACCACTGTAAGAAGGTGGATTTGGAGTTGAGAGGAACAAATTCATTCCTGGTCAGGAGGGTCAAGAAACACTTCTTAGATATTTGAGCTGAGCCTCGAAATGCATGCATATACACGTAGTGATTTCAACAAGCAGAGAATGAGGAAAGGATTCGTGGTGCAGGGAAAGCGGCAGGAGTGTAGTCAGGGCCAGGCGTATAGAGGGTCAGCCCAACGCTCTAGTACAGTGAACAGGTTCCACTGCCTTCAGAGCACTGTTCAGAGGTGGGTGGTAGGTTGTTGTTGGGGTTTTTTTTCCTACTTCTGGGAATCCTTGTCGATGCGGTAGCAGGTTATTTACACTTTGAGGGGTAATTTTATGAAAATGTGTTCGCCAGAGAGCTCTCCTTCCTTTCTTGAACGAATGTCTGTTTTCTAGCGTCTTAATTACAGTGATACTGAAATTGCACTGTCTTTCCTGGGCCTAAACTCAAATAAGGTTTAATTCACCATAACTGCTATTTACTTACAACGTGTTACTGTGTCACGACCCTCGCGTGTGTTACTAGACACTCGCGTGTGCACGCGGTAAGCGGGTACAAGCAGGAAGGCCGCAGGCTCTGACCGTCTGTAAGGAGTTGACCGTCCCATGGAGAAGGAGGGGGTAAGCCTCTTTAAACAATTAGAGGATCATAAAATGATCTTCTGGAGGGGTGCCTGGGTGGCTCAGTTGGTTAAGCATCTGACTCTTGATTTCCTCTCAGGTCATGATCTCACGGTTTGGGAGTTCGAGGCCCACACCTGGCCCTGCCGTGGCAGCACAGAACCTGCTTGGGATTCTGTCTCCCACTCTGCCCCTCCCCTATTTGCTCGCTCTCTCTCTCTCTCTCTCTCAAAATATATTAAAAATAAGTAAAAAATAAAATTTTATTGAAGAGGAACTTGGGATACACGCTGAAGGATAAGGGAGAGGAGAGTGTTTTGCTGTGGATACAGCCAAAAAAAAGTTTAAAGACTCCAGAACAAGATTGAACACGGGATGAAGTGAAAAAGAATGGGTGAGCTTTGTGAGTGACTACGTGTGTGTGTTACATACATGCATGTGTAAGTGTAGATACCAGAACGGAGATGGCATGGTCCCCAAAAGATGCTTACCCTCGGGTGGTCTTTGCTGTAGGCATGTAATCCAAGGGAGTCGTTCCCACAAGACTCAAATAGCCACTAGTACTGCCAACCGTCCTTTCTTTTGCTCTCAAACGAGAGGCTTAAGTCTCTGTCTTCGTGACCCTGTGGAGAACTGGGGTCATCCCACCCATCTCCGGGGTGATGAGAAGATTCTGCGCACCACCGCTGACCCTTGTACTGTCCGGTCCGGTGAGCGGTCACGTTCGTTTTACTTGTGTCCTAATTTTATGGCAATTAGCAGGTTGGCGCTCATTCAGTCAGCATTCACTCTCCCTGAAAGCTGAGTACGAAAGGTAAGATCCACTTGTTCACTCAACAAAATATTTACAACGGCCCCACCTTGTATCAGGCACTGTACTTGCTACTGAGGATACCAGGAGTGAATAAAAGAGACGTATCTCGGTACCATGGAGCATATGGTGTTGGGGGGCGGGGAGTGAAACGTAAGAAGCCACAAATAAAAGTGCTGTTGCCATCGTGATGAGTAGTATCGGTGACGGAATGCTAAAAGGGAGAGTCAAGGGAAATCTTCGTTAGGTGGTGAGGGAAGGCCCCCTGAGAACAAGTTGATGGTTGTGCGGAAATCTTTTTTTTTTTTTTCAAGTACAGTGATATTTTTTATTATTTTTATTTTTATTTTATTTATTTATTTGTTTGTTTTTGGTTGTGCTGCAATCTTAAAAAATTTTTTTTTCAACGTTTATTTATTTTTGGGACAGAGAGAGACAGAGCATGAACGGGGGAGGGGCAGAGAGAGAGGGAGACACAGAATCGGAAACAGGCTCCAGGCTCCGAGCCATCAGCCCAGAGCCCGACGCGGGGCTCGAACTCACGGACCGCGAGATCGTGACCTGGCTGAAGTCGGACGCTTAACCGACTGCGCCACCCAGGCGCCCCTGTGCTGCAATCTTAAGAATGAAGAGGGTACAGCCGGAGAATATATGAGTGGGGGCCAGGGGCTGGGCAGAGGACCGGCCCTGCTAAGGCTCCGAAGCGAGAAAGAGCTAACGAGAGCTAAGCGAGAGCTAAGAAAGAGCTAAGCGAGAAGGAGCTAAGTGGTTGAGAACGACACAGTTCCTGCTCTCTTACATTTTCCGGCGGGAACAGACACACAACATTTACGTTCCGTTGTGACAGGTATGATGACCATGGTTTGATGAGTGCTACCTTGGTTGGAATCCTGCGCCCTGGGAAGGCTTTCTGGAGTAGGAGATACTAAAGCCAGACCTTAAGGATAAATAAGCGTATGTGGGGGCGTGGGGAGAGGGTCTTTATGCAGCAGATAGAACCAGAAAGAAATGCCTGTGTGTTCTTGATGTTACCAGTTGGGGATGGGGACGGCTATAATATAGGTATTGAAAATTATTTCTAGAACCTGAAGCCCAGTAAACATACATAATTGAAATCAAATGCAGGAATGATCACATTCAGAAAATGGGATTTTTAGTTTTATCTGTCTTACAACATTTTAATATGGTACATGCATGGTTTTGTTATCGTGTCTCTTAAAGACTGTCATATATAGAAAGCCGCTTTCGAAACACTGGGTTTTTTTCTAGGCATTTATTTTCAAGTGTGAAAGAATACAAACGGGAAAAGAGAAGAATGTAATGGGTTGCGATACACCTGTCACTTGAATATAACAATTAACATTTTTCCATTGCTTCATTTTTTGGCTGAAGTATTTTAAAAACATGACATTTCCCCCCAAACATGTACATATACATTTTTAAAAAAATAAGAACATTCACGGGGGTACCTGGGTGACTCAGTCAGTTACGCGTCCAACTTTGGCTCAGGTCGTGATCTTGCGGTTTATGGGTTCAAGCCCTATATTGGATTCTGTGCTGACAGCTCAGAGCCCGAAGCCTGCTTCAGATTCTGTGTCTCCCTCTCTCTCTCTGCCCCTCTCCTGCTCATGCTCTCTC